ACTATTTAATTTTAAAATTTTTAATGAATTATATCTTTACTTTTTTTTATTTATTTCTTTACTTTTTTCCTCTTTGCTGACGGTCTTCCATACGTCTCCGGCACTTCTAATTTCAGAAATTAGGCCCTGCTTCCAATTATTATAGGGATGAATGCTCATATACGATTTATGGACTTTTCCTCTTGTCTTATTAGTATGTTCACGAAAGGTGAGATTTTAAATACACACCTAAGTATTTCACTGTTTTTACCTAACTTACTTAGGATTCAATCACTGTTATGATTTCGCTGTTCATAGTGATATTTCCGATGTCATGGCGCAAAGGATACTTCCTAAAACAGATAACTGTACTTTTTTGTTCATTAATTTTAATCTTCCAGTTTCTGTACCATGGAGAGATGTAATCAATAAAGTCTTGTAGTTTCTTTCTCCTTTGCGTGATTTGCACTGATTAATTTCGTAAGGGTTGCACTATCATCTGTGTAAGAGGATAGTATAATAGAGTCCTTTATAAATTGATTAAACAGCAATGGCGAAAGGATGGTACCTTATGGTAAACCTGCAGTTATTTTTTGATAACTTTTCTTTGTTGATAACCTGCAGTTATCTTTGTTTCTTTCTAGAGTATTCATTTTGAATTTTAACAGTAAAGGAACTATCATTTAAATAACTATTGATAATGAGAATATACTCGCCCGGAAATTATGGGAGATGAATTCAACAAGAAGGAAATAATGCCATACCTTGTCAAGTGCTTTTTCAATATCAAGGAAAAGATCTGCAATAGTTTCTTTTTCAAGAAGGCTTTCATAAATAATTTCAGCAATTTTAGAAATTTGCTGAACAGTGGAGAAACGTTTACAGAATTCAAATTAATATTGTTTTTCGTGATAAAGTCATTCATTGCAGTAATAATAATTTTTTCATATAACTTAGCTATGGCTGGTAAAACGCTAATTGATGGTAGTTGATAGTAAGATTTCGATTTTCACCAGGCTTCTTGATGACTGTAATAATCGAATTAAATAATTCACTGTAATAAGGGAATTGGAAAATAATTTAACTTGATACTATTATTAATAATTTTCATTAAGAATTTGATGACACGTACAGACAGATTTTGGAGCGCTGTATTATTAACGTTACCAAACCATGCAACTTTATGAACACCAATATATTGGTGTTTAGATCGTTAATTAAATTAATTAATGCACAGAGAGATGAAAAAAGCGAGGCAGATTAGAATTCTCGATCTACCCGACTATCACATATTTTGTTCTGCTGGATTAAATACCATCTCCCACCCCCCACCCCCCAAAAAAACCACAACTCTTTCACTCACACGTCTTGATATCAGAAACCGTTTCGTCACTTTTAATTGGATGATCCTAATAATGCTTGCCTTTTAAACATTCCCTGCAAAAATGGATTAGACTGATTGGATATTTCATGGACTATATAGAGATAAATGTTGATATGCGTGTATACATCTGTACAGGGTACAAATCAAGTAGTCTAACTACAATGGGCACAGGACTAAACTAGTTTAACTACAATACGCATAGTTTCGTACATATGCTAAGAAGACAAAGGGGGAAAAGATTTTCGCAAGAAACTGATTTAGTTATAACTTTCGCTACCACGTGAAAATCTGTCGCTTCAGATTGTACAGATATGAAACCGGTGAAACAAATATGAGATGAAAAATTAACTTTACTGGCTGCTCGTTTTACGCTACCGGAGACATTCTGTGTCCGAAAAGCAGCATGATCAACTAGTAATTATTACAACATGCATTTATGATAGAGAGAAACTTTCTGATTCTGTAAAACAGTACGGTCACCAGTTAGTTGCTCGTAGCAGTTCCAGAAAAAACTGAACGCTTTGCTGTAAATGTTGACCTTGGATACGTCCTTGGTAGATGCAATTTTTCAAATATCCTACAAATCAGAAGTCATACAGGTTCAGGTCGGAGGATCGTGGTCCCACATATCTGAAAAGGTCTTGAGGTAATGCTTTCCCTCAGTGAAGAATGTATGAAAGAACTACTTAATTTCTGACCACCAATACTGGTGTTGTTCTATTTGAACAAAAACTATGCCCTCAACACAGTTACATTTTTGAAGATCCCTATAGTGTGCAGATATTGCAGAATGCCTGAAAAGCAAGCGGTAATTTTAGCTCATCAAAAAAAAAAAAAAAAAAAAAAAAAAAAAACAAGAATGAATGTCAAAAACTGAAAGGCAAAATTACAACTTTACTGGAAATCCTGAGGTGTCAATCAATCGCTGTACAGTCTGGACCAGTGTAAAATTTGCGTTGCATAACTTTGACAACTGAGCAATTTCTGTGAAACAAGCTTGAGCTCTTCTACAGAACGTGGACCACGTACTGAGTGTGAGATAGTGGCTTTTCGATCTCATCATATAGCATTCTGTGGAATGGATCCTTTTCCTCTGCATCGAATATTTTTACCCCATTCCATGAAACTCTTCCCATTCCTTTCAAGCAGGGACATGCCTTCACAGGTAACAGTTATTACTGCCCTTCTGATACAATAACTTTTCTAATAGTGTGCAGATTTTCATTAGGCGTTTGCCTACAGGGAAAGAAAGGTCGCTCTGATGAGAATGCAGACTAATCCTTCATAATTAAACGTGCATATGCTACATTTTCTCTTCCTGAAAAATGTAATTGATTCAAGCATAAATCATTTCTGCAAAGTCTTCGTTGCACATCTGAAAAATTATACTATTCTACGTCCATCACAGGCCGCATTAACTTTTATGGATACTTTCACTTTAAACTACTATCTGATACTGGCAGTGGCGTAGATGGGGGCAAGGGGGATATCTGTCCTTGGGGGCACCGTCCAGGGGGTGCTAAATTGATTTTACGAAATTTTAGAATGTAACGTTTTCAAACACGCAACAGAGGAGAAAGCCCGAAATTTTCAGTTATACCTGGGCGCTGAAAACTCTAGTTAAGGCTCTATATACGGCTGTGTGTAATGAGGTAAATACTCAAATGAAATATTACTTATAAGCACTCCATAACCACATTACATTCTAACAATGGAAAGAATGCCCCCTTAGTCTCTTCCTAAAAACCCATCCAATACAGATGATAGGAGGCATTTATTTCAGAAGATTCATGACTATATTTTAGCAAGTTATGTAACTAGGTTAAGAGATTCTGCTACTTTCTTTAAGTTTGTTCCTTACTGGTTCGAAATGTGTGCATGCCTATGTGCTCATTGTAACAGCTTTACATATTATTAAAATCTTGTAGTTTAAATAATTTAAATAGTTGAACATTAAGGTATTTATGAATGGCAATTTTTGAAACCAGACTCGAGTGCCACGTGCGACTCTCGCACGAAGAATGTAATTTATTTTTAAATGTTAGAGCATTCTTTTTTCTTCTTGTTTGTATGTCGCTATTTTTTTGAGTGAAAAATAAAGTTTTTTTCTGTGTTCCATCATTGGAGTTGCTTCATATAGCCAAAGAAGTATTACATCATGTTGGTAATTGCTGTAGGAAAATATATATGAACAGGAGTTGCTCAAAATAATAGTAGCACTACACACAAAAAAAAATTATTTTGTTTCTGTCCGTTACACAGTGAATTGCAGAAGTTTTATCACTTCTCTGTATAATCGTTTTACATACAAGTATATTTTCAAGGATAAGTATTCCAACTGAAGTATGTAAAATTCCAACTGAAGTATGTAAAACTTTGTTCCTGGTAAAAGAAAATCGGTGACTTGTCTGAGTTTCAAAGAGGTGGCGAATTTCAGAGAGGAAATGCTTATAAGACATAGTTGTGGAAAGAAAAAATTTACTGACAGAGCCAAAGAGAATTTTGTTAAATTAAAAAGAAAACATACTGCAACAACAGTAATTGGTGTGCTTAGCAAATTAGCAACAGAACCCACTCTTGACATACATAATACAAAGGGAACTGGCAAAGTTCCTATCTCAAAATCTCTAGTTTCACAAATAAATGCAGAATGAAGACTATAGCAGAACCAACACATAAAATGCGGAATGTGATTAATGGGAATCAGTACTGTTTTTTGATGCTTCATATATTTCCTACTTTGGACAGGTTTATATATGGAGAATACCAGCATAAGCTGATCGTCTGGGCTTTCTCTTTCCTACAGTAAAATACGATGACTTAATTATGCTTTGATGCATCATACTATAGTTTGCAGCAAGAACCAATTATCATCTTGCAGGAAGAATAAATAATAGTGACAATCTAAGCATTTTAAGTGGCCCAGTCCACCAAAGGCACGGAATTGTTATGGCTAACTGCAGGTTTCAAAATAATGCCTCCATTCACCAAAGTCAGACAGTTTAGCCATGGCCTGAAGTATATCAAGTTAATATCATTCCTGACCTATGCTATCTCTATATTTAAGTATCACTGAACCATTGTTTTCTCTTCTAAAAGATACAGTTCTTATTTTCCTTCACAATTTCTGTCAAAGGATTGGAATATTTTGAGATAAAAATCACATAAAAATTCTTTTATTATGTTTTAGAACTTATATGCATTCACTTTGAGCAATGCTGGATGCCAAAGGATTTCCTACATCATATTACATATACACTTCTTCATTTTTAGTCATTTCCATTACTTTGGACAATCCCTACATATTAACAATTACTTTTTTTGTGGGTGATTCGATTTTTATTTGAAAATGAATGAATTACCTCATTATGAAATAATTTTTTTTTACTTTTAATATATCTAAAACAACAGCAAATAATTTTGAATTTCTGCTTTCTATGTTTACATACTTGATATATGAATTTTAAAAATTCAATCATAAGTTTTATTAATTATAATAAGAGAAGGCATTTCAAATTACAGTTATCCCAATAGATACATCATAAACCACTACTAATTATTATTATATTGAATATATTATTAAAATTATATCAACTTTTTAATTCCTCTTAAACTATGTTATCTTTCTTGCTTTTAGAAAGCTAAAGATTTAACAGCAAGAAAAATGGATCTAATCGAAAAGAAAATACTAAGTGATGTGGGACTTCTGGGAAAATATGGATCAAAAAAGAATATTCCAAGATCTTAGTAAAATTTCGCAGAAGAACAATGAGAACTTAAAAAAGCCTTAGTTGGGTATTTTTATAAATTTTTAAAAACACATGATTATAAATATCAGTTATTTTTAAAGTTAAATTTCCCATTTTTTATCTTTTTTTATAAAGATATACAGTCGTGTGTAAAATGAGAAATTGTGCATTATGTTAAACTTTTAAAAAACTAATGGACAGATTTTAATTAAACTTGGTATGAATATACATTTATAATAGAGAAAGATATGTACCATTCAAAGATCATTTTATGTATACAAGATGATCAGTAAATCTTATAATTCAGAGAAGTCCAAAATCCACATTCTGGCATCAAAGTGGAAATGAGTCTAATATGGGGTATAGCCCCCTCCTCACAGCCAGATAGGTTTGCAGCATAATGGCAACTGGACACAAGGCAGTTGATCCCACTCCAGCAAGGCAGTTTTCAACCCTGGAATGGTTCTTGAAGGGGGACAGCAAGATAAAATAGCCCTCTCAAGAGCATCCAAAACACACTCTATTGCAGTTATGGTCAGGAGATCTGACTGGCTAATCCATACAACGCATACCTTCACTTTCCAGGCAATTGGCAGACAGCTGGTCCCTATGTCATCGAACATTATCATTCATTAACAGGAACCAGGATCGACTGTGCCCCTGAAAAGTCGAACATAGGGCTCTAAGATCTCTCTATACCTCATAGCAGTTAGGAAGCCTTTGTCAAACATTTGCAAGAGTATGAGGCTGTCCAACATAATGCCTGCTCCAACAATTGTACCTCCACCAGCATAATGATCTTTTACCCTGATCAGGGAGGGACAGTATTGTGTTCTGGGCTCTCCCCAGATACAGGTCCACTGAGAATCAGGGTCCAGTCTGAATCTCGATTCATCTGTAAAAAGCAAAGTGCTCCATTGAAGTCTGCTTCAAGATGCATGTTGTCTGCACTGTGCTAAATATGCTTGAGCAGTGAGTACTGCAATGAGCAGGATGCAAACAGCTGCTTTTCTGGCAGACAGCCCTGTCTCTCATGAAGCCTTTGGGAAATTGTAGATTGTGAAACTCGGGTCCTTGTGACAGCATACAGCTCACATGTGAGCTGTAAATCTGTAGTAATCCTGCATCTTCACAGTGAAAGCACCAAATGAAGATCCTCATTTGTTATTGTCAACCTTCTACAGGTCTTCTAAATATGGACCCAGTTGTTTCTACAAACTGCAGATGACACTGGGCATTACATTGAGCCCTGTAACCACCTGTTGTTGTGACTGGCTTGCGTTCAATCTGCTAACAATTCTCCATCTCATTCCATCATCCATACATCTGTGACTACTCATTTTACATTACAGTTTATAAAATTTAGCCAACTCTTGCGAGAAACATGGCAAACATTGTGAAGGATGAATATTTTCATAAATTGAAGAAACCCTTCATGTGCTTAGATCCCCTTCACAATCACAGCTCCTCAGACATGTACATGTATTCAACTCTGAATATTTGCATAATTCTTTGACAACATAGTTAATACCTTCGGTTCAATACTTTTTGTAAAAATATAAATAATTTGCAAATTCTGTTAATTTTGCACACAAGTGTATATATGATGTCTGCTTATCAAAGATTAAAAAAGGAATATGTAAACATTTTTAATGTATTTTAGTCAATTATACATATATATATTACTGATTTTTATAAATTTTATTTCTCATTTTCCATACTTATAATATTAATATAAAAATAAAGGACAATTATAAAAATAGAATATTAGTATTTCACAATACTATAACACTGTTATTTCTTTATGATACTATATTGTTCTCTAAACATATATGCATTATTTATGTTTACCGGAATTGCATAGCACTAAAAATAGTAGATATTTATTCACCTTTCAATTAATGCTGCGGTTAAATGTATGTAAACACGTGTGCTGTAAATTATAGCACTTGCATTCATATTCTGTATACACCCTTAATTTTAGTAACCAAAATGAATCAACATGCATTTGTTAATGAGATTATTATGTAAACACGAGTAAACATTAATACTGCAGAATACAAGTGTTTCTATCATGTACTGTGTCCATGTGTTTAGTTTGTTCTGAATTCAAATTTTTTGCAGATATCTGCATAGTTTTGTCCCTCAGATACGTGCATGATTATTTTAATAATGGCTATTTTGTGAATGTGTAACAATTAAGAAATAAAATATATAACAAATGAGCTCTAGAACTGAATGTACCATCACAGTAAATCTTCCAGATACTATGAAAAATTTGACAGCTGTAGTAAACATCCCAATTTCAATTTTGGAAACTCTAAATGTGAAGATACAAGATAATTCTGAAAAAAATTTCCTCTTTACTTTGGGTATGCTATAATACAGCTAGGACTGCATAGCTGGGTAAATCTGATCAGTCAAAAGGTTTTAGTCTTTTGCTCAGTTAGAAAGTTATAATTTTAGTGCAATATTTAACAGTACTATATAAGGTTATTATTTAAATTAACTAGTTATTTATAATTTCAGCCTTTACTATAACTTCTCATTTCCATTTCCTCGACAGAACACAAATGAGTTAACTAATATTTAAACTGAGGTTTTGAGACAGGCAGTCCTACACATGCATGCTACATTTATTTCCTGCCAGCTCTGATAAGCTGTAGTTATTCAGCTTTGTGGGTACATTGCTGCTGACATTTGAATTCGATACACCAATTAGAATTACTGAGCCAGCTTACATAAAATTTAATTGTGTAGTCTCTGACTACTATTCTATATTTTAAATTGAAATTGACTGCTTTTTAATTGTATCACGGATGATTTTGTTAGCACAAGAATGTGCACTCATGTTCAAACTTCTGTTCAAATAAAAAGATTTATTTAAACCTTTCTCTGACTTACTTACTTTCAAACATAGTGATAATTAATTTCAAGCCTGTAAGAGTTTTTTTTTTTTTTTTTTTTTTATTATTAAGTTTTACCAGATCAATGAAAATGCACAACATTTTTTTTAAACATTTACTTTTAATTTTGGACTTTTAATTTATAAAATTATTCTTAAATGTTAAAGGATTTTTAGTGGTACCTTTAGCTGTTATATTAAATTTCAATAAAGATCCAGTTTCTTTTAGCATGGGCCTATTTATCCAAAAGATGATGGTTGAGCTCCTTTTTAAAGTAATCCATATCTGCTTCTAATTAAAAATACAGATTTGTATTTAAATATTTCCAGTTTTGCATTGTTTAATAATGCAGTCTAAGATAAAGAAGTTGCATTACATATATAATAAATCAGAGCATTTTCCTTTATTCATAATTAAACTGCTATGAAAAAGTGGCAGATTAAATAACTATTATGCATAATACAGGGTTCATAGCCACATTTTAGTTTAAAAAATAAGCACCTATAAGCACTTTTCAAGCACATTTAAAAAAAAAAATAAGCACCTGTCTAATTACATCATACACACTGCATAACCTTAAAATTAACTTGTAATTTAAAATTGAGAATGAAGTACTTATAAGACAGAATAAGGACCTCAACCATGGAAAATAATTACTTTTTTTGTTTTGTTTTTAATTTTAAATAATAGTTCAATTTACAGAACTAGTTTACAATGAGAGAAAAAAAAACTATGAAGAACTAAACTATACTATACAAGATTTAATGATGAAAATTCAGTTCAAAATAGAGAAAATAAATAATAATAAGGCATATTTATTGTATTCGCTTGGAACCTAATAATAAATACAATTTATTTTCCCACTCATACTGATATTTAAATAATTTAAATCTAAATTCTGAACATTTTCTAAATTTTCATTGTATATCAGGTTTCTCTTAACAGATATTGCAAGCAAAGTAATTTAAGTAAAAAAAGGACATTTCTGAAATCAGAAGACAGAAATTTGCTACATGCAGTTATCCTTTAACAGTAAAAGCTTAACTAACCCGCATACTTGGAAACTGATGAATATTCGGACAGTCGAGCGTAACTTGAAAAAGAGAAGCGGAGGGGGTAGACTGTAGCCGCTCTTTAGATTTTCCCAAATATATGCTTTTGAATTCATAGTGCAATATAAAAATATAAAAATAAATGCTTTTGACGTTTTGATATGTGCATCATATCAAAATAAACCAACGGAACTAAAAAATATTCTGCTTAGCAAACGCAGTAAAACTCTTTTAAATGTTCATAAACAAATATCGGACTGAACATCAAAATTAATTACCTCTGCAAAATATCGCAAACGTTATTGTGCAATATGTGCGTCGTATTCTTCCCTACGTGATATTACGCAATCGGAATCAACAGCTGCCGGTATTGCGAAAATAAAGAACTAAATAACTGCGGTGATTTTCATTCTAATTTTCAACAGACGGCGTTAAATTTCCGGAATAGAATTATTTTTCGCTTGGGCTGGTAGACCGCAGAACTTTTAGTCCTATTCAATCCAGAATTCAATTACTTTCCTTTATTTAAGCCATTCCGAATATTATTCCTTAGAAAGCTAATCGTGTTAAAAACAACAACCATTTTGGAAGTTTACTATATTTTAGCAGTTACTGCAACTTTATTATAAACATTCATACATATGCTCATAATATAAGCATAACTATCATAATAAACACGAATATAACTGACCGCAAATTTTAAGATCTGATAGAAATTCAAACGTGTTGTAGTAGTTGGGGTGGGAGGAAAAGAATGCCGAATGTAGCAGCATTTTCTACTGCTTTCGAAATTCTTTGACCAATAGAACGACGGGCACCTGTCTGTACTCTTCGTGCACACCAAAGGTTATGTTAATGCAGAGAAAGGGAGAAAAGCTATTTCCGGGAGTATGACTCACCATCTGACATTCCATATTAGGAAGAAAAATTGTTTATTTAGTTTCGGCTTTGGTACGGGGGGAAATAGCACATTTATTTTTAAAAAAAAGCACTAGAAGCAAAAAATAAGCACTAAAAACAAAAAAATAAGGGCTTTAAAGAAAAAGTAAGCACCTATAAGGGCCTTTATATTTTATTTTCAAATATAAGGACTTATAAGCACTTATAAGGACCGCTATGAACCCTGATAATAAATTCATAATAAATCAGAGCATTTTTCTTCATAATTAAACTGCTATGAAAAAAAGGCAATTTTCCTGGTTGTTTTCTGGATGATTTTGGTAATATTCTCTCTGGATGATTTTTGTAATATTCTCAGATTTATGTAGTCTAATGAACAAGGAATATGCTTTGTTAGCATGTGTTTACTCCAAATTTCATCAGTTATACTATTAATATTTTAATTTATTAAGCTACAAATAAATGTCATCAGATGGTTCAAGTCATCATTCCTGAGATATAATGCAGTTGATTTAGTTTCCTATAATCCTTTACAATTTGTATTTAATTTCTTTCTAGATCTTTCTAAATATCATTCTTTCAGAATGTTTAAACCAGTCGCAAGAAGCTATGCTGAACTATCTGCAGCAAATGGAGCTTCTACATGAAGAAATTTTTACATCAATGAACTCAAACTCCAACTGCTTTCCGATTTAATGTGAAATGTAAGACAAACCAGTTAGTATGATAGTTAATCTTTCATAAAAGTTCTAAATATTTATAAAGTTATAAGTTTATTAAAAGTGAAAGTCTTATTAATACATTATTTTGCATATTATTCATTTTATGATCTAATAAATGAAGAATCCAGCAGTTTTTAATTCAACACTGATTTCTAAATTTAAAAAGTCTAAGCAGTTACTACTTCCAATTTCAATTAATCCTTCCTTTAACAACAGTTTTCAAATATTATTGACAGAAGAAACAAAGCTCTACTTCACTAGGAAAGGAAAGTTTTGGAATCATCTTTCCAATTGAGGAAACATACATATACAACATCAGTATCAACACATTGATATATTATACAGATACAATAAGCATTAACACAGTGTTCTCGGGAGGAGAGAGATCTATACACTTGTATGTGTGAAATGTGTAGAAGGCATTTAGTTTGGCAAATCCCATTTCTGTTGAATAAGAGCATAAGAATTTTCCATACCTGAACATTGTTATGGTTTACCATTCTGCATAAATACCCACACTGTTTCATTACTGATTATTAGACTGCATTAAAACCAACAGTTTACAATGTTTCTTCCATGTACTTACAAAATTATTACCATTTGATATAATCATCTGGTTTTAAATGTTGCAACATTGTAAATACTATGGTTTCTGTAGCAATTATTGTCCCTTAAATGATTGGCTGCAAAATACTAACAGATAGTACTTTTTTGGGGGGCTATGCACCATATAACTTTACTGTTCCTTTAGAAATGTTCAACTATCTAAGGCTTTTACATTTTTACTAAATTATTTTTGAATTGCTGATACCATGACCGAATGCTCCGGCAGTTTAGTGGAACTGAGCAGTTACTGCCATTGAAATGCACATTGCACAGAAATCATAGACAAACACTGCATATTCTAAAATACAAAACACTCTCTACTGTAAATTCACCATTTTAAAAACAGAACTCATACAGGGTGATCAGCGAATAAGCCCTGATTTCAAAATTAAATATCTCTACAACAAAGATCGATAGAATTATGTGGTAAACTGTATGTTTATTAGCAAAACTGTAAAAATGGTGTACAAAAGTTTATAAAATTTAGTTATGAAAATCATTAACAGATGGCGCTGTAATAGCAATGACCTATCAATAGCCTTTAAAATGTGCTTCGAAGTTAAAAGTACAACTGTTGGCTAGTTAAAAGAGGCTAGCGTAGAAAGTGAAATAAAGTATTCCATTGAACAATGTGTATTTGGGTTCTGGAATTTCACTGATTAGAACACAGTCCTACGGCAACACGTGGCAGTTTACAAAACCGATTCAATGTTCCAGTTGAACCCGATGCGAAAACCATTCTCATGCTCTTCACGAAATTCGAATGGACTGGCAGCGTGCTGATGATCGAAAGGGAAATGTTAAACCTAAGGCAAACTGTAGTCACTCCTGAAAATGCAGCCAAAAGCTTTCTGGAATTCGTTCTGCAAAATCCTAGAAAAAGCCTCCGACGGGATTGCATCAGAGACAGGTTTTGAAGTACCACGAACACGCAAAAAATATTAAAAAATAGCCTACGGCTGTTTTTCCATACAAAATCCATCATCAGTCATACATCAGGCCATACCCATGAAAGCTATGCAACAAAGGGTTGACTTTGCGAATCAGATTCTAACAATGAGTCGACAAAAGACAGATTTGATGTGAGCTGCATCTGGTTCACAGATGAGGCACATTTTTATTTTAATGGAATCGTTAATAAAAAAAAAAAACTGGAGATTTTGGGGCTCCGAAAATCCTCATTTGTGTGAAGAAAAAGCCCCGTTTAGGCGAGGCTTTTTCTAAAGTCGTCTTGGCGAGACAATTCGTCTAAAGTTACTGCATGGGCTGCGATATGCTCCAGAGGCGTCATTATCGGACCCTTTTTCGTACGAGAAACGATAACTAATGAACATTACGTTACAATTTTGAAACAATTTGTCAGCACTCAGCTAGCGTTGGAGGATCGACCAGGTATCGACTGGTTCCTGCAAGATGGGGCTCGACCACATCGAACAAATAAAGTTTTTCACTTTCTTCATGAATACTTTGGGAATAGAGTAATTGCATTAGATTATCCTCAATTTACTGACAAAAGAATAGCTTGGCCTCCATATTCTCCCAATCTGAGTCCATGTGATTTCTTTCTGTGGGGCGCATTGAAAGACGCTGTCTATCGAAACAATTCTGCTACTCTAGATGAGCTTGAATCGTTGATTGGTGTTGCATGCGATTCCATTTCTGTCGAGACATTGCAAGACGTGATGTCAAATTTCATTCTTCATTTATGCCACCTCACTGTTTTGAATGGTGAACATTTTGAAAAATTTGTATTTTGATTGCAAAGGCTGCTTCACTTTATTTTTTAATTAATTTTTTTTACTCCTTTCAGAGAGAGTTTTCAGTGCAGAATGCCATCTGTTAACGATTTTCGTAACTAAATTTTCTAAACTTTTGTACACCATTTTTACAGTTTTGCTAATAAATGTACAGTTTACAGCATAATTCTAACAATTTTTGTTGTAGAGATATTTAATTTTGAAATCAGGGCTTATTCGCTGATCACCCTGTATCTGCTACATGGTGGGGGTTTAAAAAAAGTTTAATTCCAATTTTAAAAAAATTACGATAATTTTTGTTATTTTTAAAAAGATATGCAATTCACAACTTGGAAATGGTAGAACTTTGGGAACCTGATGAATAATTTTTAATCACCATTCATACCATTTATTATTTCAATATCCCCTAAATCAATATTTAGTTAAAAAAATTCACAATTTTACTTCTCTTAAATAAAAAGCCTGTAGTATGATAAATCTTTTAATTAATTTAATATTTACAAAGACATACCTAAGTGCAGAATCTCAATAACTAAAATATTGATATTTTCTTGTGATTCTTTTTCAAGTTTATTTCATCACTTATTTTTTGTTCTTTTGCTTCCAGTTTTTTTAAGAGATTGCTCTGTACAATCATTTTCTGCTTCATTCGTGCACAAGCTGCTTCGTTCCTGAAAATAAAAATACACACACCTTATGAAATGCATATTTAAAAAAAAAATCAAGTAACCTATGAGCAGTAAATAATTGAAGCAAGTAAAGACAGAATTGTTTGAAACAGAAAATCAGAAAATGTTAAATTGGTATATAAAGATAATAGTTGTTGGATTGTTGAATTTCAAGATGAATTCTTCTACAACTGGAAATTGAATAAAATGAAACATAATTTCTTGAAATATTTCCAAGAAAATTTAATAAGTGATTGTTTTAAAGGGTGACTAAAAAATTATCCAGAAACACTCAACTTATTTATCAGTTTACAACAAATGTAATTCTCATGCAGTAATTTAATATATGCTCCTAACACAAACAAGCAGGACAAGAATGTCAACAGAAAAAATATTTTGGGTAGTAAATATGCTACTGCATTTCTCATTACAAGTAAATAATTCATTACATAGGATCAGCATTCTTTACTCTGTTTCATAATCACTGTTTATAATTAAGTTTGAATGATTAAAATTGGAAAGTGTACAAGAGTAACAAAACATGTGTGATGGTATGCAACAAAATTTGAAACAAATTAAAAATTTCCTTTTTAAATATTTATATATATATACATAATGCTTATTAACTTCTTAACAGTTTGATTTTTTTCTCTGAATCTAATCAAAAAAATTGTCACATTTTTTACTGAATTTTTTGTATAGTTTAGATTTATGAGTAAGAAAATGGTATTAAAATTAACATTTATAATAGTTTTAAGCATTAAGAACAACTTTTTACTGCAAATAAAATAATAATATTTTCTTTAGAAGTTTCCTTTCCTTCCAACACGACTGCCTAATATGGAAGTTACATTTATAGTTGTATAGTATAGAAAAAATACAATTACTTTACAATTATGTTTGGTTACAATTAGTACAACTGCATTTATTTAGACCTTCCCCCCCCCAAAAAAAAGACCTGATTTTGTACGATACATGTTAAAGCAAGGTGAAAGGCACAGTCCTGATAAACACGCTAAGTCTCTTTTCTAATTCTTTTATTATTGTTCTGTTTTTCCCCCTTTTTTCCCCTGTAGGTAAAATCACTTCTAAAAATGTCTTCCTGCTAGTTTTATCCAAGAAGACCTTTCCTTTACTTACATGCAACTACTGTTGCATGCCTTTCAGTCAGTCAAATGAAGATAGTCAATCAAAGCTGCAATTTGGTATTTTTACCACCGTGTTTTTTATACTACCTGCCATATATTGAAGTCATCTAGAGAACTTTCACTATTCCCAGACGTTTACAGACAATTCGGATTCCAAATTTTTAATCACAAGAAATTAGCTGCATACATTTTGAATTGGCCATTATTTTACGGTTAGAAAAAATTGAGTATTTGCACATTAATAAATTTATCAAATCAATACTAAAATACATGTGGAAAGCTAATCACTGAAATATAAAAATTCACTGAATCATGCAAAACACATGAAACAAGCACGCACTTTTAAACCAATCAGAACAGAACAAAATAGACTTTGTGAGCCATCACATAGTAGACATCTAACTGCCATCTGTGAGACCAATTTGATATTAAAAATAGAAAAGATACGGGCGAAAATAGTAAAAGCAAACAAAGACATGAGATCACCCTTATGATCAATAAAATAAAGACCTGAAATCAAATAAAGCAAATCAATAAAGACCTGAAAACAGTGCCTCTACTGCACACAGGCAAAACAGTAAGTGGTTTTATAAGTAAAAATAGTATATTTTGTGAAGAGCATAACTTTAATGCCATTATTATTACTATCACTATTTTCTACAGTAGAATTTTTTTTTTTTTTTTTTTTTTTTTTTTTTTAACAAACAAATAATTCTTACACAATTGATCAAAATTTTGATTTACTGGTATGTTATATTTTTGAAAAGATCTATAGTTTTTTGAAAGGATGTGACATGTGAATTAACTATAACCCTCTATTTAAATAATTCATAAAAATATCCAATCATATGCATTAACTGGATTTCGCTGACAACATATTCTCCCAGAAGAATAATATGAAATGACCTCAACTGCGAAAACGTTACAGTGCAAACATTCATGTTTAAGTGTTGGCATGACACTGTATTTTGAGTAAAAGGTTATGAGCAAAAATGCTTGAATCCCTGTCCTGCCACACTATCTTATCTGCTAGATTTATCATCCTCTGACCTCATATTCAGTCTTATGAAAATGATTCTTAGGAATCAATATTTTCAGATAATTCAAGGCATCTAAGACAATAGGAAGGTCTATCTATGACACATACCAAAAAAACATTTTACCAAAATTTTTGTGAATCTCAGGAGTGGGGGAAGCAAGCATCTGTTTTATAATGAATGTTACTCTGAAAGTTAGTACCTAATAAATTTTACATTATAAAATGCATTTGCTTTACAAGTATTTTTCCACAAACTTTTTTAACAAAGAAATATATTCATTCTACTGCAATGACACATAGTATTATTTTATTCAGCTATCAAAAACAGAATGTTAGTGATTAGAAATTAGAAAGTTATGCTTGTTTGAAAAATCAATCAATATTGAGAATATCAAACTTTCAGTCTTCAAAGCAAACACAGAAAATAAATAACTATTAATGGTCCATAGAATTTATTCAGCTATTTCTGCCACTATGCAATTTTTATATGCTGGTGAACCTAAGTACCCAGTACTTCAAATTTAATGCAATTTTTATGTTTTTCCCATTTTATAATCAAGATTACTCCTCTTGCATCATATAATAGTACCAAGGAAGGAAAATCAAAACTTAATGAGATTTTAAAAACAGATTTCCTGAGACCATAAAAATCCTGACTGAGGAAGATCTTGCATTTCATTCCACAATTTCAAAATTCTGTAACAGTTCAGAAATATAGCATTGCAACTTTCGAAATTCTAGAACTCAGCAGCTGGTAGGAGCGTCTTTTACTTCAATGTCACTGATAATATCTTCAGTCCTTATTAATTATTAAAACAGGCACTTCCAGAAAAAGGAGATTTTATCAGTCAAAATTCAGTCTACATAATATTCACTAATTAGAAAACATAAGGGAATGTCCAACCTATTTTAAAATAAAATCTATGAGCACAAAGTTGAGAGAAGAATTTTCATATTTTTACTTTGCTCTTTACAGAATGTAATCTTGCCATACTTTGCCTATGATTAATTGAAATTTTTCTTATAAGCCTTCTTTAAAGACAGAAGGCTTATTGGAAAAATCTATACCTGTACTTCACCTACAGCAATTTGCTCTTCTAGAACTATCATCGATGACTGATTTACACAACTTAAAGAATGTAGTTGTGACACATATATCTCCTCTTTTTTATCTTTTGATCTGTTGACTGAATGGAAATATTCTCTAATTATGATTCTTCATACCAAAATATTCTTCACCTGAATATTTGATTTGCCATAATGTTTACACTTCAGAGACAATTAGTAGTACTGTAAATCTATTTACATTGAGACAATTCTACACTCATTCAATCCTGATCATCTATGAAACTATCCAGAATTTGAAATTTTAACAGTGCTTTGAAAGCCAAATTTTGTACGAACTTCCTTCCTTGAAATACAGTTCTGAACAAACCCTAATAGTAACATAGAAAATAAGTAACAAAATTCTATAACTGAAAATTATTTTTACTTAAATTTCACTACATTTGATAAGTACCTTTGCAAAGGATCACAGAATCAACAGATAACAGATATATAATACTCCAAAAGATTATTTTATAATACTAATGAAACTAATAAAATAGAAGAGAAATACACCAATGTAAAATTTAAAATTACAGAAGAAAACAACCTTATGCTTGTGTTTTTTAATAAAACCGTCAATTTTGGGGGCGATCAGACAGTACTCTGTTTCAGTAGCCCCCCCCCAAAAAAAAGGACGACTACATTTTGCTATCAACCAGCATTTGAGAAAAATTTTCTTAGTTTTTTTCTATTGCCTCCATGCATTTCTTCTTTTTTTTTTTTGGGGGGGGGGGAAGAATAGTTATTTTATGTTCATGTTAGATTCTTTCATCTCGGAAGTTGGAAAGTTTCCATTTCTATTGATTTGAACAATTTTTTTTTTCTTTTTGTCATTTTCATATCATAACCACTTTACTCTTTTCCTCTACAATTTTGTGATTTTGCTAACGTAAAAGGGTCACCACCCTGTTTTTTTTTTTGGGGGGGGAACGGCCCTCTTGTTTTAACATGCCAACAGAAAAAAAAAAAGCTGGTTTTGTAAATTATACCTGGAATGTATAAAAAAATTTTAACAATCTCCGATTTTTACTTGAATGCAAATGTGAGATTATCATTTCCAAATTTATAGAGGTCAAATGTAATCAATCATAAATATTCTGTTCATGTTTCCAAAATTATACATAAATTCAAATTGTCACTTTTTCAGCACATTATAAGAAATCTGCATACATGTTTATCTAAAACCGAGTATGAATTATAACATCTTCCTTTTCAAATTGATAATTCAGCTTCTAATTGTCCATCTTTTGATCAAAAACCTTAGACCAGAAACAAAACTGCTTGTCAGGGCCATAAAATTTCTTGCCTCTAAATTCCAAAAGCTTGCATCCCAATCATCTAGTTCTGCCCAGTGTAATAATTTAACCATCAATGCTAATGTTGTAGTTAGTATCTTTACTGTTAATCTCTTAGAGGATTGGATGAAAGTACCAAAACAATATTTAAACTTTTCACAAATACGTAAACCTTCATATTTCCAAATCATTGCTCCAATTAAAAAAAGTTTTTACATTCCACAAAATTTCAGAAAATAGAAAAGAGCAACCTGTACTTAATTACACACATTAACCTTTTAACTGTCAAGTGATTTTGATGATTTGGGAGCATAAATTGTCAATTTTTTTTTATTCCAAAAATAAAAGTTTGCCTTGCAGTCAAAAAAAAAAAAAAAAAAAAAAAAAAAAAAAAACTGTGCACTTTGAACTTTAACCTCTATGCTTTGAAACCTTCAGTAAAGTCCTGCCATCTGTTGAATTGAAGCCGAAATAAACTTCTCAGGATATATATTTGGGTATAACAATAGAATGCACCTTAAAAAAAATTAGCCCGAGTATTGTTCGGGCTTGACATTTTGGAATGCTGTGCCCGAGGTTATTTTGGGCTAATTTAATAAGAGGTTAATTTCAATAATACATTGTTAATTTCAAATCTTAAAAAGGACAAAATCTCTTATGAGAAGTCCATTTTAATCCAAGCATTATTATTTAAAAGCTGATAAGAATGAACAGATCGTTTTTATCAGCAAACACCTATACATTGATGGAGTCATGAAACTAATATGTGAAGAATACTGTTCCACCCTTAAAGATCCTTTAGCTTTTGATCTCTCAAAAGTTAAAAAGCTATCAGTCCTCTCATATATTCCCAGCTCAGTTTTTAAAAAAAAATTGCTCATCACACCTATTGCTAATTGTGCTATAATTTCTGCTCTTTGCAAAGATTGTAAAAATGGAAAATTTCTTTTTGTCCCATTAACTTCGAATTATCATTTATCATCCTACACTTTAGCCAAATATTTAGTTTCTAGATTTTCCCCATTACTTTCTAACAATATTTACATGGAATGGAGGGGGAATTCTTTTGAAGATGTTAATAAACTTTAGGTTATTTTCCCCAAGCTCTCATTTATGGTTTCCTCAAATAGGTAAATTACTGTTTATTAATGTTCCTATTGAGGAAATATTAAAATATCTTTGAAACCAGATAGAAAACATCTCTGAGCCAGACTGTATTAAAATATCTTTGAAACAGAATTTGATTTTACACATACTGAAATTCAGGAGTTTCTTTCTCTCACTAAAACTTCAGTCAGACCCACTTCCTTTTCCAAAATACTTACTTTACCACACTGAAAGACTAGCCATGAATAATCTCCTGCAGACATTTATGATTTACTGTGAGGTCAAATTATTTGAAAACTATCTTTAATTCTGGGCCCACTATGTTGATGATATATTTGCACTTTCTGATGGTGATAAAGAAGATTTATCTATTATGAATTTGAATGATTCAGCTATCCACTTCATTTTTGAGACTGACTGGTAATTCCTTTCTTTCCTTGATATTTGAATTACTCACAATGAATATGATTTTAGCACTAATGTTTACCATAAACTATTTTATGTTTGTTTGCCTCCCCATGTTAAATTATGTCACCCTGCTAAACACAAAATGGCTTAAATTTATTCTTGTGTATATTGTAATGTCAAAGTTTGTTTTTCAGTGTCGTTGCTATCTCATGAATTAAATTACTTGAAATTAGTTGTAACTGACACAGCATTTTCTCCCAGTCATTGATATAGCCTTTAAAACATATTTGAAGAATGAGTGTAAGATGTTCTGTGGACTGCATGGACACCTCAAAATTATGTGTAATGTATCCCAAGTCTCATGCTGTCCAAGAAGAAAAGTAAATACCATCTGGGCAAAAACCTCAGATGATATAACATAAAGACAAGCCCACAAGTGTTTTACAAAATGCTGAAATATCCTCTCAGATTTGCTGAATATTCTTTTGGACCTGAGACTCAGAAGTTAAGACCTTATTAAGGTCACATAACTGTTCAAACAAATAAAAACAACACTGCAGAAGTTAAAGCTTGGTTTCAAAATCATGCATTTGAGGGAGAAAATTGGCATGAAATAGAAACAAGAAATAAGAAAACAAGTATGTAAATAAGTACAAAACAACCTTAGCACCAGATCCATATCTTTAGAAAAGATGCTCCTCCCTTTAGCAAATTTGAATAAATCAGCTTAAACAGTATTATGCTCTCTTTCCATTGGTAAAATTCTATTTGTGCCCCTTGATCTTAACACAAGTGTCCCTATTTACCTAATCTCTACATCACTCTCCCCAAAATAACCTTCTAGACTCATAACAGTTATGTGCTCTCAGTGGCTTTTTTTTGGGGGGGGGTGTGTTGTTCTTGTTTAGTTTATATCATTATGGAACCATAAAAAAAGCAAAAACATGCTGTAGAAATGTATCACTTTTTACAAAACGCTTTTTTTGCTCTTGAAAAAGAGACAACTATGCATAAGAGCCCTCAAAACCCAGAGAGTTTTATCTAAAATCTATGCCAAAATAAGTAAGCTTTTTGGACTATTTTAAATTAATGAAGTTACTTTAGGAATATTATTACAAAGCATTTTTTTACACATACTTTTGTCATAATTTAATTCAGATATGAATAATCTGAAATTTGAAGTTCTTAATATTTAAATAAAGAAAACATAATTTCGTTACTATACGAAAAGATAATATTAGTCATCAATTTACAAAAACAAATAACCATTTTAAAATTTCGTATTAAAATTATACCTTTCAGCATTCCTATTCAAAGACTGCTGCAACCTAACAATTTCTTTTTTTGTCTTTTTGATATCTTCTCCAACAGCATACATCTAAAATAAAATATTATATGCTTATTTAAACGTTAAGTATCAAAATGTTCTCCATTTTAATCATACAATTCAGTAACTGTTATTAAAAGAACCTAAAATAATGCTTTTAAACAAACAACAAACATCCCAAATGATATTTTAATCATATCAAATATAAAAAGTGAGCACATAAAATTTAATTAAATTTTCAAATAAACTACCATTCATGGCAAATTTTTAAATATTTTATACTAAATATGTGGTTATCATTTTATTAATTTTTGGTATGCTAGTCTATTTTAATACATTAACGGCAGTCATGATATTATCTCAAATATTAAGTGTTTCATTTTATTTTGCTTTGTTTTAATGAAGAATTTGATTATAAGGGGCACAATGGTCATTCTGTAGCAATTATCATATATATTATTTCTGTAGCCATATATAAGACACATCGATTATTTCTATAGCCATCTAGGCAAATTAATTACATCTAAAATCTTGAATTACGATGTAATACGCAAAGAAAGATTTATCTTTTAAAGAATATAAAGGTGTACAAAAATATAAAAAGGATTCTGTATTAACTCTGTGGTGTTAAGAAAAACTTTTATACATTAAAAAAATCATAAATATTTAATTAGATACATCATGAATCAAGTGTATTTTTATTTAAATCAATCACATTTAAAAGTAAATAAAAATATTATTTACTTAGAACTGCATTTACTGCTTTTAAATTGCTTAAATGGCTAAGCAATTTCTGACAGCTTAAATCTGAAGTTAACTACCTTACACTTTGCTGAATGGCTGGAAGATGGCATGTGGCAGATAAAAGTACTTTATTTTCAATGTGGCAACACACTTACATCACAAAGTTGGAAATTTCTTAGCTTGAGCAATGGCAACATATTACTCTAAAATTGTTCAGTTTGTTAATAAAAAATTCACTAAATTTGCATAAAATATGAAATAAATAAATAAACAATTGAAATTTAAAATTCCGACTTTGAGATACATATGTTTGTGTGCAGGACCATGTGTGTTCAAAATCTAATCACTGCAAGTGTTGATGCTTTTCAACCAAGCAATAAACATGCATGCATACATACTATATGCATATAAATTCTTCATTATTTAATACTAGATATTATATCCTCTAACTGGAAACAATAAAAGATTCTTCCACTGCTTGCAGTTAAGATAACAAACAATTTCCCCCACACACACACATGAGACGCATTCAAGTTGCTCATTGTAACTGCATTATGAAATAAACATTTTTATAATCTTTAAGATCCAAAATTATTATACATATGACACACATTAAAAAAAATTCTACCAATCACTGAAGAATAGTTAATAATTATAATTTAAATGAGTATGTTTTTAAATTAATGATGTAAAAATTGGTAAGGATGTTTAATTTTTTTTTTTTTTTTCATGTAATTTCTTTCTTACTACTAATAAAATATTATCTTATCTGAACTTTTTAAAATTATTTGTATCAACAACCAAAATACTTTCTAATTGAAAGCAATGCAGTTCAATGAATGAAGATTTTTCAAGAAATTAACTAGATACCTATAGCATTAATTATTCCACAAGTATCTATTATCTTTACAAAAAGAACTTGAATGCATGAAAAACAGTGGAAAATTTATTTACACTTTCTGTTATGCAGACATAATATCTATTCATAATGAAGGCCTGATTGGAAAAAAAAAAAAAAACTTTTATCCAGCTTGCATTAAAATTAATAGTCCATAATCAATAACAAATTTGTTTTCTTGACACATATTATCAACCACACCAAAATTAAACATTTTAATAAAAGATGATTTTTTTACTTTTCCTTCTATTAAATTAACTGGCATTTCAGTATTTCAAAAAAAGTAGTTGCTAATATCATCATCAACCAACTACAAAGAATTAAAAATATTTGTTTTGAAGATTTGCATTCTGAAATTAAAACACTTCTTGCCATTCTGCAAAAAGAATTCAAATTATTTTATTAATAAACAGATTTTAAAACTTGACACTAATTAGACCCTCTAAACACTTAATTAAACTATCAGGGAGATAATATGCAAATGTGTAAATAAAAAAATTAGTGAATCTGTATATCTGCATTTTTACACTCTGGTAGCTGACTTCTGTTACTAATACAATCACCTCTCTTCAAGCCCCAAAGTAGTCACTTTTGATAGCAGATTTTAGTTTTCCTGTTCTTTTTTTTTTTTTTTTTTTTTTTTTTTTTTTTTTCCCTGTTTATTTTACTGCTACAAGAAATTTCAATTTATTAATTATTCCAATTTTTGCTTTAAATATCATACACAATCTTAATTCTAACTTTTAATTTATTTTGCTCACATCCCTTTAATTAAAAGCTTCTCTTTGATCCACTGCTTTTTATAACTGCTCCGTCTTTATATAATTAGATTTTGCATCATGCTTGCATTCCAACTTGGATTATGGTACCAGGAAATTAAAATTTTTCTTCCTCTTCTAGTTAAATGACTTAACCAGCTAATCAACATAACTAGATAAACTTTTCTTTGTATTTTATTTGATTTGACTTATTTTTATTATATTATATACATTTCTTTGCCATTTTCCCCTCATTATTTGGTGTTTTTCAACTACATATTCAGAATTTATTAATATTCCATATTGTGAAAATATTTAATATATTTTCCAGTTATTACATTCTAAATTTGTTTTTGCTGATTCTCAACTTTTTCTTTTGCATTTTTATACTACTGTTGCATCATAAAATATATGACATTTAGCTTAAGAGCTCTTCTCCTAACACAGGCGCTCTGTGCTTAACTCAAAGCTGTGTATGATTCAAAGTGATCTGCGAAGAAGGCTACCATCTTAAAACAGCTTTTGTTCCGAAAAAAGGTGGAATGTGAAACAATGTCTGAACATTTGAACAATTTCTTCAAAATAGTTGATAAGCTAAAATAAATGGAAACTGACATAACTCATTACTGATTCTTCTGCTCTACAATGCTTCAGAAAACTTTGAAAATTTTATATGCGCCATCGAATCAAGAGATGAATTACTTAAAGTAATTAATTGAATTAATTTAGCAATTTTAAAGTTTCGAATCTTTAAAACTCAAAATGCTAGAAGAACGTGAAGCATGAAAAGGGAAAACATCTCAAAATTAATAAAATGTGTTCTACACTGAAAATAAAAGAAGAACAAATGAAAAATAAAAAATGGAAGGTAAATTCAAACAAAAATTTTCCTGCTGAAAGAAATTATTGAAACTTGAAATGGATTTGAAAATTAGGCATAAGTCATCTGAATGCAGAAACAAAATAGCTGATAGGAAATATGTGCAATCCAATAAGGGAAATCAAGGTTCTACAATGGCTACTAATTATGAAGAGCAGATTTGTTTTTCAGCAGACTTCCTCATGGTGCTTAGATAGTAGTTGCACATTTCACATGTACAATATTTTCAGAATTTCATCCTCGAACAAATTCAACTATAAAGCTCGCAGTTGACAAAACAGCAAAAACTACAGGAACTAACAGCACCTAACAGAAATAGGACAACTAATCTTTCACTCAGAAATGTGCTGTGTGCTCTGGAATTAAAATGTAATTTGCTGTCAACATCTAAAATTACCACAAATAATCACTCAATAATTTATACAGAACATGATAAAATAATAGAATCAAATGGATCTATATCAATGCAGGCTGTTTGTAATGGTGATCTTCATTATATATATCTTAGCACTGAAACAGCTGCAACAGCACAGGTAAAGTACAGCACAGGTAAAGATTTTGTAAAGTGGCATCTTAAATTAGGTAATTTAAATGAGTCTGATAACATGATTAGAAATTAAAATTTTAATGATACCAAAAATCTAAAAGACTGCAAAGTTTGCAACCAAGGTAAACAAACTATTCAACCTTTTTGAAAAGAATTAAAATTTCGAAGTGATGAATTACTGAATTTGATTCACTCAGATTTGCATGGACTCAGAATGACAGTTCCATCCCATGCTGCTTCACATTATTTTGTTACCTTCATAGATGATAAATTGCATTGTGTCAAAGTTAGTTTTCTTAAAACTAAAGCAGAAGTGAAAAATGTATTCATTAAACGCAAAGCTGCATTCATCTAGGCAAGAAAATAAAAATCCTTCACATTGATAATGGTCTCGAATCAGAGAAAATAGTTTAATAAATATCTTCAAGAATATGGGATTAAATGAGAATTCTTGTCACCCATGACCTCCCCAACAGAATTCAACAGCTGAATGCATGAATTGTACTTTAACTGAAATGGCCACACGTTTGTTATTACAAAGTAATCTCTTCAATCCTTTTGGGCTGAAGCCTTAAATTGTCTGTTTATACATGTAATCATTGCCCAAATCAAAGCCAGGAAGTAAATAAGACACCCTGTGAGTTATTTTTTGAATAAAGCCAACTGAATAAATATTTGGAGCAAAAAATTTTTAATTTATAAAAGGCCTAAAAGGAAATTTGATCCTCGATAAGAAGAATACATTTTTGTAGGATACTCATATAAATTGAAAGCATACAGGCTGTGGAATAAAAATTTCAGAAAAATCATTATAAGCTGAGATGTTAGATTTACTGATGAATTTGAAAACTATACCAACTATGCTGAAGACTTAAAATTTTATTTCTTGGAAACATTCCTGATAAAAAAGAAGGAAGAACCTTTGAATACTAAGCAAATATCGCCAGATGAAATAATAGAAGACCCCTCAAATATGGCAGAAGCATCTGCTGGGTTATCCGATAATGAAGATTCTGATTCCAAAGAAATACCTGAAATGCAGATTAAAAGGGGGCCAAGTAGGCAAAAAAAAAAAAAAAAAAAAAAAAAAAGAAGAAGAAGAAGCCTATGAATTCAGAAATACCAAAAAAGAAGTACCACAATATAAACATAAAAAAGGATAAATTGCTAAAGAGGAAGATACAAACCCGGCATTAGAATTTAAAGGATATGCTGAAGAAATGGCATAAA